TTTCAGCTGTTTGAAGCTGGTGTACAAAACCACAAGTAAAAGAAGCAAAATGAAACTTAAGAACGGGAAGCATAGAAATAGCACACATAGAACATATCTACCACTTCTCTGACTTGCTTTCAATGAGAATGAAAGATCTATGACTCACATTTCGATGTGATTTGGTTGGGCGGCCCAAAAAGTTACATATTGTAGCATTAATGGACACTCAGGGCAAATGCGTCCCCCAGTGGTAAAGGAAGGAAACTGCACCCTGCGTAGCCTACTGGCCACGCTAGGCTGAATACTTGACAGGCTGATTGCTTGAATTACATGTAGTCAGTGGTGGAAAAAGTACCCAATTGTCATACTTGAGTAAAAATAAAGATACCTTAGTAGAACATGGTTCAAGTAAATGTAAAAGTCACCCAGTAAAATACAACTTGATTAAAAGTCTAAAAGTATTTGGTTTTAAATATACTAAAGTATCAAAAGTAAATGTTATTGCTAAAATATACTTCAGTATCAAAAGTAAAAGTAAAAGTATAAATAATTTCACATTCCTTATATTAAACAAACCAGACAGCACCATTTGCTTATTTTTTTAAATGTTTACGATAGCAAGGGGCACACTCCAACACTCAGACATCATTTACAAATTATGCATGTGTTTAGTGAGTCCGCCAGATCAGAGGCAGTAGGGATGACCAGGGATGTTCTTTTAATAAGTGCATGAATTGGACCATTTTCCTGTCCTGCTATAAATTCAAAATGTAACGAGAAAAAGTAAAATTTGTCAAAAATATAAATAGTGAAGTACAGATACCCCCCAAGTTGTACTTTAAAGTATTTTTTACTTAAGTACTTTACACCACCGTGTACAGTCAGATCTGGGATGTAACATGACCATTACCTTGATGCAAAGAAAACATGATCTTTATCTGGTGATGGCTCCACTCCACCTAACATTCCCAATGGGTTTTATCCCCTACCACCTATCCAGTCCCTTGATATCTGCAAAAACCAAAGTGGTCGGGGCGCATGTTGTGAGCAACTCAAGCCCATCTGAAGCACACCTTAGCTGCTAACAATGGTCTTCATTAGTCAATTATTTTAATTAAAGTGTTTTGTCAATGCTGGTCTTGAACAAACACCTACACACAATATATAGCCTTTACAGACTGGATGGCCCACCCATAGGCTAGGGTTAGAGGGTTTAGGGCATTACTCTAGTGAGTCAAGGTGCACTATACAGGGCATTACTCTAGTGAGTCAAGGTGCACTATACAGGGCATTACTCTAGTGAGTCAAGGTGCACTATACAGGGCATTACTCCAGTGTGTCAAGGTGCACTATACAGGGCATTACTCCAGTGTGTCAAGGTGCACTATACAGGGCATTACTCCAGTGTGTCAAGGTGCACTTGCTGAGCTGCAAAGCCCCTGGGTCTGCCAGCAGGAGGTCTATGCCCTCCCTCTTTAACCAACCACATAACAGCTGGCTCAGATGTCACATTAACCCTTTATAGTGCTCAGCTCAGCGTGTGTGTCTGTGTGTGTGTGTGTGTCTGTGTGTCTGTGTGTGTCTGTGTGTGTGTGTGTCTGTGTGTGTGTGTGTGTGTGTGTGTGTGGGAATTTTTTTTTTATTGTTCATGAATGTAGACACTTGTATTACATTATAATCCACTCATGTGTCTGTGTGTGTGTGTGTCTGTGTGTGTGTGTGTGTGTGTGTGTGTGTGTGTGTGTGTGTGTGTGTGTGTGTGTGTGTGTGTGTGTGTGTGTCTGTGTGTGTGTGTGTCTGTGTGTGTGTGTGTGTGTGTGTGTGTGTGTGTGTGTGGGTGTGTGTGTGTGTGTGCGTGTGTGTGCGTGTGTGTGCATGTGTGTGTCTGTCTGTGTGTGTGTGTTTTGTTCAGCTGTACTGAATAGTGTGGGCACAGAGAGATGGTGTAGCTCTAACAGGTATAGGGTATTTAGGGGTCATAGTGTGAGAACTGAAGGTCCTTGTCAAATATTTTCAAAACATCAGACTTGCATCAAACAAGACATCCAACATGCAACCTGGATACATAAAACCCTTTACAACATCAACAGCAGGAGTTTACAAACAGTATTTCAACATTGTAGGTTAAATCCATGCGTTTATATGTTTATCTGGCTCCAGATGTATTATATTAGGTAGAGAAACCCCGTACAGGTTAAGGTTAAGGTATTAGCTATCCTTAAATCCCCTTTCACCGTCTGCCTGTTTATTCTGTCTGTAGCCTATCCAATACCCGTCACACAAATCACTGTGACTGGATTTCAGCCCCATGCTGAATTTCATCCCGGTTAGTGCTATCTGGGATACTTGGGACGTCCCTCCCCGAAAGCCTAACCCTAACCATAACCCTTACCCTAACCCTAACCATTACCCTAACCCTAACCCTAACCCTAACCCTAACCCTAACCCTAACCCTAACCATAACCCTTACCCTAACCCTAACCATAACCCTTACCATAACCATTTTACATTTCAACTTCAATGGAGTAGGGAAGTCCCAAGGAGCCCGGATAGCAAGGACTAATTGAAGCCGTCCCAATTGCTGATGAACAGCGGTAATTGGTTCATGACCTGTCTCTCACAGTGGGAGGGCGGGTTCTGTCGCTTGTCACCTGATAATCTCAGTGCATGCTGTAATCCAAGCTGCTATCCATGCTTCTGTCGCTCATGGGGATGTGGCAGAAACCGAGGATGCGTCAGAAAAGTGTAAGTATTTATCGATACTTTCTCCGTTTGTTTTTGAAAATGAACTTGGATGACGTCTTAAAATAGTTTTTTTCATCGTAGATTTTGATACTGTTGACATCTTGCATTAGCCATAGCCTATGTATTTACTTTGAAGGAGATCTCTCACAAAATGTAAGTTTTTTTTCTTCTTCTAATGCGTGCGTAATTATGAGTAATTATGAGTCTGTATTCGGGATTAAGCACAAAACAAATATCAAATTGATCGGAATATGTGATAAGTCTCAATACGATTGAAACAGAGCATTGTAATAACAATGCAATAACTAATTACCAGACATTGTCAAATGTGAAAATTCCAGAAAATCACCACTTAAAAGAAAATCACTGTATTGGCCATTGAGACATGCATAATATACGATAATATACGAGGCTTTACTTCTCTCTCTCTCTCTCTCTCTCTGACATAAAATGCTATCTGATCCATTATTATCTAATCTTACATGGTTTCTATTTCTGGCTGAGAAACGTTGTGGTCAGGTGCCACTCTGAGCGTAGCAGAGCTGGAGCGGAGCGTGCCCAATTTGACTGGAGCGTGGAGCGAGATTGCCAAAGGCTGGAGCGTAGGCCTTCTCGCAACCCTCTTATTTCGCTCCATCGCAACCCTCCTATTTCGCTCCAGAAGCGCTCCAAGTAGCGCTCACTTCACGAGCTCAGGGCATGCCCGGCCCAGCATGCATTTGTAGGCTACTTGTATAGCCCCTTGCTTTAGCTACTGTCATGGAGTTCGCTAAATATTTTCATAAAGAAACTGATAAAACACACAGGTGCTAAATCAAGGTGATTTACAAAGATGAGGACCAAGAGCAAGAGAGGGAGTGTGGTGATGTAGTGTCCACAACTAAAGAATCATTGTGGAATCTGAAAATACACGTATCCCGAAAGCATGCTACGTGCACATACTAAAAGAAAGGAACAAAGTGGGTAGATAACTAAGTGTGCCACTGTAGCAAAGTATTTATAAACAAAAAATCAGATCTCTTAAATGTAAGTTTCCTTGAATTTCGTTCTATTATCTATACAATAGGCCATAAATGAGTTTGTCCCAATAGGCCTGGCATATTCCCACATTCAAGGAGCTTTCCGTTTTGATTGGGTTATTTTAGCCTAAAAACCTTTAGGCCTACCTATAGAAAAATTTAAAAACCACTCTACATCTCTGCCCAGCCTGTCAAGAGTGGCCAAAAGGGTGTTCAGCATCCCCAGTGTCTCTGCCGGTGTGGAGAGGATATTATCCGCAGCTGGCCTGCTCTCCAGGAACCATCACATGAGCCTGAAGCCACAGACTGGCTAAACTCATGTTTCTAAAAATGAATTCTAGAAATGAATTCAAAGGCACTAATAAGTAATTTTTTGTTTAATTTGTATTTAATTCTAAATAAGTCACAACCTATATTGCGCAATTTATAGACTATAATGATTTAATACAACTAAATGTTGTTTAAATACTGAACTCTTTATGTCCCTACCAGTCTATTGAGTTGCACTGGAAAATGCTTCACAATGTATTTATTTCAATAATTAATTTTCTTTCCTTCTTAGGCTCCTGACCTATTTAGAGTGTTTATATGCTGTTTAATACGACATGTAGCTTATTTGAAATGAAGTTCGCTTCTTACATTCACCTTTTCATGTTTATTCAAATGCTTTTCATTCAAATCCATATGGTTTGGTTTCAATACTTAAAAAACAATTGGTAGGTCCAGGTAGTCACAAAAATAGATGGGCGTTGGTTAAATTGTGATTTTAATGAATGGCGCTAATTTTGAGCTTAGAAGTTTTTTTTTCTTCATGTGAGCGTGGGGCAGTTTTTAGCCGAGCGGTAGAAAAGGACGTGGAGCGCCTGAGCGAGCATCACACCATGAGCGACGAGCAGGATTTCCAACCACTCAACTCCACTCACATGCTCTTCAAAAAAGTTTTAGGGTTACATAAAATGTTTTTCTTGTTCATGAATGTGCACTCTTGTATTCCATGCTAATCCACTCATCTACCTTGCCCGAAGAAAATGGTCCACAACTCAAGCCATTTATAAGCATGTATTCGGCAGCTATAACATTTTCAGTTTGCCAGAAAGATATCCTAATATATAACCATCTCTTTTCATATTAGGAGAAAACCATTCCAAGGCAAACAGAAGAAAGTCCACCGATGAGCTAGACTCTATTGGTCAGACACTCAAGTCTCTTTTCACCCAGTCTACATACTGTATGTTGACTACAGCTGAAGTTCTCATGGAAGGGACCCACAGCACCTTGCATCTGTACCAGCCCGTCAGGGAGTGGATCTCTGTGAGGCCGTTCCTCCCTAAACCCATCCACAGCGGTTCTGGTGGTTCCACCCACAAGACCCCCGCCTCTCATAGGGGTCAACCAATCATTCCCCACCATCTACTAGAGGAGGAGCTAGCAGAGACTGTGCAGAGGGGTCAGTCAGAAGAACATGGATTTAAAAAACAGAAACAGAGTTTTGAGGAGGACATCCAGGCGGTTGCTTCTTCGTCGTCGTCAGACTCTGAGCTCCAATGGTTGGCTGACTTCCACCTCTTACCTCTCTGCTCAGAGTGCAAGGCCAGGGTTGGGATGGGGAACCAGGGAGGGAAGCTCAGGCACCTGGGCTCCTCAGAGAACCGGGATGGCTGTTCCCCCAGATCCCCACTAGACCACCAGGCAACCAGGAGGAGGAGCACTGAGGGGCTGAGCGGCACCAGTAGCCTCCAGCACACCCTCACCCTGTCCCCTGGGACCCCACAGACCTCCAGGAAAAGGAGGCTGAAGAGGCTGTGGATGATGAGTGCTCCCCCAGCTGAGGAGAACCTTCAGTGGGGTACAGTGGAGCCGAGGTCAGCCTATCCTTCTGGCGGGATCTCCAACTTCAAGGTCATGGAAGGAAGAGAGAGAGCGAAGACGGAGAAGAGTGACACTGTCATTGGAGGAGAGAGGGAGAGGGAGAGGGAGAGGGAGAGGGAGAGGGAGAAGGAGAAGAGGGATACCTTGACATGGGGGACAAAGAGGCCATGCACCAGTCCATCCAGCGCTGTTCTGGACTCCCTCATAGGGGTTCTACTCTCTGAGAACCGCCCTCATTCTCCAAACAAAGTTCTCCCATTTGAGTACCATTATCGTTATCGCATGCCCCGAGAGGTTCTAACTCTGAAAGAAGAGCCTGTTCATATTGACTCAGATACGGAGCTCTCAGAGTATGACAATGAATTGTGTAACACCTCCCCCTTCCCGTCTAAATCTCAAGAGGTAGAGGATTCCCAGGACAGCACCAGGCAGTCTCCAGAAGGGGGGACCACCCAGGGTCTGAGCCCCAGCCAGGAGGGAGGTAGAGCGGAGAAGGGGTGGAGGATGGAGAGGGTGGAGGAAAAGAGGTCAGCCCAGCAGCGGTGTGAGGAGATAGAGAGGGCGAGGAGGGATGCAGCATGGAGGGTGATGGGGAAGATTGAAGAGGTGGAGGGGATCATACAGAGGGTCAGTCTCACCAGCGCTGACTGGATCAAGGAGGAGAGAGAGGGGGGTGTTTTTGGACTGCTTACCTCTAAGCCAGATGAGTGTGTGTCTGAAGAAGAGTCAGTGTTAGAGACAAAACCTGAATGCTCTCTCCAGCCCCAGCTGCAGTGCTCTGTCCAGTCACCACCCTCTCTCCAGCCCCAGCGGCAGTGCTCTGTCCAGCCACCACCCTCTCTCCAGCCCCAGCTGCAGTGCTCTGTCCAGCCACCACCCTCTCTCCAGCCCCAGCTGCAGTGCTCTGTCCAGCCACCACCCTCTCTCCAGCCCCAGCTGCAGTGCTCTGTCCAGTCACCACCCTCTCTCCAGCCCCAGCTGCAGTGCTCTGTCCAGTCACCACCCTCTCTCCAGCCCCAGCTGCAGTGCTCTGTCCAGCCACCACCCTCTCTCCAGCCCCAGCTGCAGTGCTCTGTCCAGCCACCACACTTTCTTCAGCCCCAGCCACAACAACTGCCAGAACCCTCTGTCCAAACCCAGCCCTTTCTCCAGCCCCAACCAGAGCTCCAGGATTGGGGGCCCACTCGGGAAGATCCTCTCCCAGTCGAGGAGCTCCGTGCCCTGGGTGAGGCGCTGAGCCAGAGCCTGCGGAGAGCCCTGAGGATGGAGGGTCTAGGGGAGGACGAGGACTGGGAGTCAATGAGGTGTAGAGAAGAGTTCAGAGAAACTACCTGGAACTTCAACTTAAAGCAAACCACTTCAGAATCATCATTGGAACCCACTGACCTCTCCAATGACAACACCATGGCCTTTGACCCTATGAGAGAATGGAAGCCGTCTCTCTCAGCCGTCTTGGATTGCACCTCATCCCTGCGGACCTCCAATAGCTTTAACAGCATGTCCCACATCCTGTCCCCTCTGTCCTCCCAGGTGTCCAGCCCTCATCTTAGCCACTGTCCCCTGCCTCGCTCCCTCTCCCAGCAGCCTGGGGAAAGACAAGAAGACAAAGACAGAATGAGGGAGGAGGAGGAGGAGGAGGAGGAGAGGAGGAGAAAGAACTCATCCCTGGGCTGTCTGGTCCTGCAGGGTGGGAGTAGGGAGAGAGGAGGGAGAGGGAGTAGGGAGAGAGGAGACAGTGATTCTACAGTCACCAGAGGAGGGATAGCTGACAAGAAGGGGGCCAGGAAGAGGGTGGCGTGGCTGGACCTGAGGCTGAATGAGCAGAACCAGAAGAAGAATCAGAACCAGAGTGACAACCAGAGCCAAGGCAACTCCATTTGGACTGAGCCCGGTGTTTCCAGTCCGTCCTCTGTGCTGTTTTCAGGTGAGTGCTCACCTTGTGTATTTGAACATGTCCAAATGATAACAAGAGAAAGGAGCTTACAGGAAGGGGAAAGAGACTGCGTAGAATGGATGAAGACTCATTGTGTTATGCAGCTGTACTGAGCTGCACAGGTTAACTGACCCTTAAACACACAACAACAGTACAAGTTTCTTCTGCCCAGTGGGGTGAATAAGTGGACATGCAGACAGAGCCCTGTGATGTTCTAGCCAAGTTCTGACAGTCAGGTTTACACATCGTTTAGTGATCTAAGACTCCAGTCTGTCTGTCTGCTGTTTCTGCCTCAACCACTCTGCTTTCTCTATAGTCAGGTGACTGCTAGGGGCCAAGACTGCTTGGGGCCACACAAACACGCACACGCACACGCACTCGCACACGCACTCACGCACACGCACACGCACACGCACACACACACACACACACACACACACACACACACACACACACACACACACACACACACACACACACACACAGACACACACGTGCACACGCGCACACTCGCACACTCGCACTCGCACACGCACACGCACACACACACACACACACACACACACACACACACACACAGATGTTGACCATTTGTACTTCCCAACTTATCACACTCCCTTTGAGGCTGTAAACTCTTGAAAACCATCATGGGGCCATCATCATTCCCAGACTACCATACATCCTCTCTACCCATGTTTAGTGCACCAGAGGCACCCTTGTGTCTGTTTGTGTGTGTGTGTTCTAGCATGGGGAGCGCACCTGCCAGGGCTCCCTGGGAAGTTATCAGCCATGGTTGGATGTGCAGTGACCTGGAGTTGACCCAAGGTCCAGGATATAGGACTAGTGTGTGTCTCTCTCTGTCTCTCTCTCTCTCTCTCTCTCTCTCTCTCTCTCTCTCTCTCTCTCTCTCTCTATCTCTCTATCTCTCTCTCTCTCTCTCTCTCTCTCTCTCTCTCTCTCTCTCTCTCTCTCTCTCTCTCTCTCTGTCTCTCTTTGTCTCTCTCTCAGTCACTGTCTCTCTCTCTGTCAATTAAATTAAATGCAAAGGGATTTATTGGCATGTTAACATTGCCAAAGCAAGTGAAATAGATAATAAACAAAAGTGAAATAAACAATTAAAAATAAACATTAAACAGTCAAACTCATAAAAGTTCCAAAGGAATAGAGACATTTCAAATGTCATATTATGGCTATATACAGTGTTGTAACAATGTGCAAATGGTTGAAGTGCAAAAGGGAAAATAAATAAACATAAATATGGGTTGTATTTACAATGGTGTTTGTTCTTCACTGGTTGTCCTTTTCTTGTGGCAACAGGTCACAAATATTGCTGCTGTGATTGCACACTGTGGTTTTTCACCCAATAGATATGGGAGTTTATCAAAATTGGGTTTGTTTTCGTATTCTTTGTGGATCTGTGTAATCTGAGGGAAATAGTGTCTCTCATATGGTCATACATTTGGCAGGAGGTTAGGAAGTGCAGCTCCGTTTCCACCTCATTTTGTGGGCAGTGTGCACATAGCCTGTCTTCTCTTGAGAGCCAGGTCTGCCTACTGCGGTCTTTCTCAATAGCAAGGCTCTGCTCACTGAGTCTGTACATAGTCAAAGCTTTCCTTAAGTTTGGGTCAGTCACAGGGGTCAGGTATTCTGCCACTGTGTACTCTCTGTTTAGGGCCAAATAGCATTCTAGTTTGCTCTGTTTTTTTGTTAATTCTTTCCAATGTGTCAAGTAATTATATTTTTGTTTTCTCATGATTTGGTTGGGTCTAATTATGTTGCTGTCCTGGGGCTCTGTGGGGTCTGTTTGTGTTTGTGAACAGAGCCCCAAGACCAGCTTGCTTAGTTGACTCTTCTCCAGGTTCATCTCTCTGTAGGTGATGGCTTTGTTATGAAAGGTTTGGGAATTGCTTCCTTTTAGGTGGTTGTAGAATTTAACCGCTCTTTTCTGGATTTTGATAATTAGCGGGTATTGGCCTAATTCTGCTCTGCATGCAATATTTGGTGTTTTATGTTGTACACTGAGGATATTTTTGCATAATTCTGCATGCAGAGTATCAATTTGGTGTTTGTCCCATTTTGTGAATTCTTGGTTGGTGAGCGGACCCCAGACCTCACAACCATAAAGGGCAATGGGTTCTATAACTGATTCAAGTATTTTTAGCCAGATCCTAATTGGTGTGTTGAATTGTATGTTCCTTTTGATGGCATAGAAGGCCCTTCTTGCCTTGTCTCTCAGATCGTTCACAGCTTTGTGGAAGTTACCTGTGGCGCTGATGTTTAGGCCGAGGTATATATAGTTTTTTGTGTGCTTTAGGGCTCTAGGTGGAATTTGTATTTGTGGTCCTGGCAACTGGACCTTTTTTGGAACACCATTATTGTTGTCTTACTGAGATTTACTGTCAGGGCCCAGGTCTGACAGAATCTGTGCAGAAGATCTAGGTGCTGCTGTAGGCCCTCCTTGGTAGGGGACAGAAGCACCAGATCATCAGTAAACAGTAGACATTTGACTTCAGATTCTAGTAGGGTGAGGCTGGGTGCTGCAGACTGTTTTAGTGCCCTCGCCAATTCGTTGATATATATGCTGAAGAGGGTGGGGCTTAAGCTGCATCCCTGTCTCACCCCATGGCCCTGTGGAAAGAAATGTGTGTGTTTTTTATGCAAATTTTTACCGCACACCTTTTGTTTGTGTACATGGATTTTATAATGTCATATATTTTTCCCCCAACACCACTTTCCGTCAATTTGTATAGCAGACCCTCATGCCAAATTGAGTCAAAAGCTTTTTTGAAATCAACAAAGCATGAGAAGACTTTGCCTTTGTTTTGGTTTGTTCGTTTGTCAATTAGGGTGTGCAGGGTGAATACGTGGTCTGTCGTACGGTAATTTAGTAAAAAGCCAAGTTGACATTTGCTCAGTACATTGTTTTCACTGAAGAAATGTAAGAGTCTGCTGTTAATGATAATGCAGAGGATTTTCCCAAGGTTGTTGTTGACCCATAATCCACGGTAGTTATTGGGGTAAAATTTGTCTCCACTTTTGTGGATTGGGGTGATCAGTCCTTGGTTCCAAATATTGGGGAACATGCCAGAGCTAAGGATGATGTTAAAGTTTTAAGTATAGCCAATTGGAATTTGTGGTCTGTATATTTGATCATTTCATTGAGGATACCATCAACACCACAGGCCTTTTTGTGTTGGAGGGTTTGTATTTTGTCCTGTAGTTCATTCAATGTAATTGGAGAATCCAGTGGGTTCTGGTAGTCTTTAATAGTTGATTCTAAGATTTGCATTTGGTCATGTATATGTTTTTGCTGTTTGTTATTTGTTACAGGGCCAAAATGATTGGTGAAGTGGTTTACCCATACATCTCCGTTTTGGATAGATAACTCTTCGTGTTGTTGTTTGTTTAGTGTTTTCCAATTTCCCCAGAAGTGGTTAGAGTCTATGGATTCTTCAATTACATTGAGCTGATTTCTGATGTGCTGTTCATACTTTTTCCGTAGTGTATTTCTGTATTGTTTTAGTGATTCACCATAGTGAAGGCGTAGGCTCAGGTTTTCTGGGTCTCAATGTTTTTGGTTGGTTAGGTTTCTCAATTTCTTTCTTAGGTTTTTGCATTCTTCATCAAACCATTTGTCATTGTTGTTAATTTTCTTTGGTTTTCTGTTTGACATTTTTAGATTTGATAGGGAAGCTGAGAGGTCATCTCTGTTTTGGATAGATTGCTCTTCGTGTTGTTGTTTGTTTAGTGTTTTCCAATTTCTTAATATTATTCAGTTCCTTTTGGCTTTGATGCCTCATGATTGAGTATTGCTCTGTTCAAGTAGACTGTGATTTTGCTGTGGTCTGATAGGGGTGTCAGTGGGCTGACTGTGAACGCTCTGAGAGACTCTGGGTTGAGGTCAGTGATAAAGTGGTCTACAGTACTACTGCCAAGAGATGAGCTATAGGTGTACCTACCGTAGGAGTCCCCTCGAAGCCTGCCATTGACTATGTACACACCCAGTGTGCGACAGAGCTGCAGGAGTTGTGACCCGATTTTGTTGGTTATGTTGTCGTAGTTGTGCCTAGGGGGGCATATGGGGGAGGGAATGCTGTCACCTCCAGGTAGGTGTTTGTCCCCCTGTGTGCTGAGGGTGTCAGGTTCTCTTCCAGTTCTGGCATTTAGATCACCATAGACTAATACATGTCCCTGACTAGTACAGGTCTATACTAAGAAGAGAGGAGAAGCGAGAGAGAGGAGACAGAGAGAGAGAGAGGCGAGAGGAGAGAGAGAGAGCGATCTCGATCCCAGGATTTAAGAGCATAGACTACGCCCTCGGATTGTGTGTCTCTGGCTCTACTGCGCTAGCTCTGTCTCTCTCTCTCTCTATCTCTCTATCTCTCTCTCCTCTCTCTCTCTCTCTCTCTCTCTCTCTCTCTCTCTCTCTGTCTCTCTCTCTGTCTCCCTCTCTCTGTTTCTGTCTCTCTGTGTTGCTCTCTCTGTCTCTCTGTCTCAGTCTCTCTCTCTCAATTCAATGGGAAACGTGTGTTAACATTGCCAAAGCAAGTGAAGTAGATAGTCTCTCTCTCTCTCTCTCTCTCTCTCTCTCTCTCTCTCTCTCTCTCCTCTCTCATCTCTCTCTCATCTCTTGCCTCTGTCATATCTCAGTAGTTCATGTATCATTGTTTTATGGCTGGAGCTTTGTTCATTGCTCTTCCTTTCTTATCTGCTCGGCATTATTCAGTTAGGTCCAGCTTTGTTTTGGCTGGAGCATTGAGTTCATGTAGTCCAGCTGTTTTATTGGCTGGAGCATTGAGTTCATGTAGCCCATCTGTTTTATGGGGGAGCATGATTCATGTAGTCAGGCTGTTTTATTGGTGGGCATTGAGTTATGAGTCCAGCTGTTTTTTGATGGAGCATTGCAGTTCTCCTTTCAGAAGTGTTTGCTGGCAGCATGTTCACTAGACAAGTTATTGGCAGGGATGCCCTTTCATTAGTACAGCGTAATGGTTGGGGAGATTGAGGTCATGTAGTGGCCTTTTTGAGCTGGTGAGTTAGTTAATGGTAGTCCCAGGCAATGTAAGTATCGGCTAGTTAACATTGGAAATCCTCTATTAATTGGCTGCAGAGTCAGACCTGAAATGAAAACAATGGAATGCTTTCATTATACACGCAATGTTGGGGAAATTAGGAAAATTGGGCCTTATGTTGAAGCTGTGTTGTAGTTTTAATGTAACTGGTGATGTCATCCCTAGGCAAACTGTAAAGACGCTTTACTGCAATGGAAGTTGGAACTGGACTTGTTAAGTACATCACACAAATACACATTTCTACCTACCCAGATCAAGAGTTTCTGCAATGATTTCTCCATTCATTCATTGAATTTCAATTCACTTTCTGTATTCACTGAATTGAAACTGAATTGACCTCAACCATCCTGTATCGGTGGTTAGGTCTACCTGCTTAGGTTGAACTCTCTGTGATGTCTTGTGTGTAAGTTACAAGTGGTATACATACATCCAGTCACTTGTAGGTGTAGGGTACAAAAAGTAAAGTCATGGAAGAAACCCACACATTATTGAATGCTCCCAACGGTTTTATTTAACGCAACGTTTCGACTGTCCTGTTTCTCTCCCCAGACGAGGCCCTGACGAGACAGGAGGAGATCTGGCAGAGAGAGGTGGAGGATTCTCTGTCGTACTGCCGGTCCCTGACCCGCCCCTCTCGCCCCAAACACGTCGACTTCCTCAGGATCACACCACTGGAAGATGACATCACCAGCGACTTGCCTTTCTCCCCACAGCGAGTGAGTTGTTCTGACGTCTTAGACATTTCAGACACACTTTACTTAAAGCATCCAGGTATAATGCTTTATTTTGTATTATTATGATTTATTTTGTGTAAAGAGACTTAGGAATGGGAAGCTGCTAGGCCCTGTGTGATGCACAGGACTGTATTTGTTGTTGTAGAATTGTTTTAGTTTTTCAGCTATTACTTAACCAAAGGGATTTATAGATGCTTTGTCTGAATGCACAGTGTGTGTGTGTAAGTGTGTGTCTGCGCATGTGTGTGTTGAGTGGATTTCTGCTGCCCACTAGCTGTCTGCCTGCTATCCTTTGACAGGCACCTTGCCTGGCTGTTTAAGCAGCTTGCGGGTGGGGGGTGGGGAAGGGGTGGGGGGTTGTTGGCCTGCTCTGCACCTGTCACATCTAAAATCCTGTTCACCTCTTATTGGACACGTCTGTGTTAACTTTTCTCTAGATCAGTGGTCATTCATAGTGCACAAAATGTTCTACTATAACACCATTATCAACTTTTTGGATTGATAACACTTTCATAATACATGATTTGTAAAAGTGTTTGGTTTGATTTGATCAAGGGGTTATTATATGTTTTAAAAGGGCCTTTGTGGTCTAGAGTGACTTGTAGGAACCTCTGCATCTACTCTTCACATTCAAACATACTGACACAGTGAAACCATGAACCCCCTCCTCCAACTTAACCCCTTAATAGCTAATTGAAAGCCCCTTAATCCTCAGAAATACACCTGTCCACTGTCTGAAGTCCACTTCATTGGTGGGCAGAGTTTGAAAGCCTTAGAGAGTACATTCACTTGACTGTGTGCTAAGCTTCCATAGGAATCATCTCCAAGTTATGATATAAAGTGCATTCGGAAAGTATTCAGACCCCTTGACTTTTTCCAAATTTTGTTACGTTACAGCCTTATTCTAAAATGTAAATCTACACACAATACCACAAAATGACAAAGCAAAAACTGTTTTTTAGATTTTTTTGCAAATGTATTGAAAATAAAACACGGAAATATTACATTTACATAAGTATTCAGACCCTTTACTCAGTACTTTGTTGAAGCACCTTTGGCAGCAATTACAGCCTCGAGTCTTCTTGGGTATGACGCTACGCTACAAATACAGTCCTGTGCATCACACAGGGCCTAGCAGCGTCCCATTCCTAAGTCTCTTTACACAACAAAAACCTAATACACACAAATCTAAGTAAGAGAATGGAATAAGAATATATAAATATATGGATGAGCAATGTCATTATCAGAGGGGCATAGGCTAAGATGCAATAGATAGTATAGAATACAGTATATACATATGAGATGGGTAATGCAAGATATGTAAACATTATTAAGGTGCCATTATTAAAGTGACTAGTGTTCCATTTATTAAAGTCGCCAGTGATTTTCAAGTCTGTATGTAGGCAGCAGCCTCTCTGTGCTAGTGATGGCTGTTTAACAGTCTGATGGCCTTGAGATAGAAGCTGTTTTTCAGTCTCTCGGTCCCAGCTTTGATGCACCTGTACTGACCTCGCCTTCTGGATGATAGCGGGGTGAACAGGCAGTGGCTCGGGTGGTAGTTGTCCTTGATGATCTTTTTGGCCTTCCTGTGACATCAGGTGCTGTAGGTGTCCTGGAGGGCAGGTATTTTGCCCCCGGTGATGCGTTGTGCAGACCACACCACCATCTGGAGAGCCTTGCGGTTGTGGGCGGTGCAGTTGCCGTACCAGGCGGTGATACAGCCCGACAGGATGCTCTCAATTGTGCATCTGTAAAAGTTTGTGAGGGTTTTAGGTGACAGGCCAAATTTCATCAGCCTCCTGAGGTTGAAGAGATGCTGTTGCGCCTTCTTCACCACACTGTCTGTGTCGGTGGACCATTTCAGTTTGTCGGTGATATGTACGCCGGGGAACTTAAAACGTTCCACCTTCTCCACTGCTGTCCCGTCGATGTGGATGACTAGCGACTCATGGTGTAATTGTAACAATATACAGGAACTCAAGTCATTTTTGTTCACCTGAATTCCTCACAATCAAATGCCGACCGTATTATCCCCCCTCAAGCCGATACCACGACGGCCCTCAAGGAACTTCACTAGACTTTATGCAAACTGGAAACCATATATCCTGAGGCTGCATTTATTGTAGCTGGGGATTTTAACAAAGCAAATTTGAGAAAAAGGCTACCTAAATTCTATCAGCATATTGACTGTAGCTCTGGAAAAACACTGTTATACTAATTTCCGCTATGCACACAAGGCCCTCCCCCGCCCTCCTTTCAGCAAATCTGACCACGACTCCATTTTGCTCCTCCCTTCCTATAGGCAGAAACTCAAACAGGAAGCACCCGTGCTTAGGACTATTCAAATCTGGTCTGACCAATCGGAATCAATGCTTCAAGATTGTTTTGATCACGCGGACTGGGATATATTCCGGGTAGCCTCTGAGAATAATATAGACGTATACGCTGATTCGGTGCGTGGGTTTATAAGGAAGTGTATTGGAGATGTTCAAGTCCAGGCTCTGGCTGGGCCACTCAAGGACATTCAGAGACTTGTCCCGAAGCCACTCCTGCGTTGTCTTGGCTGTGTGCTGTCTTGGTCGTTGTCCTGTTGGAATGGTGAACCTTCGCCCCAGTCTGAGGTCCTGAGCACTCTGGAGCAGGTTTTCATCAAGTATCTCTCAGTACTTTGCTCCGTTAATCTTTCCCTCAATCCTGACTAGTCTCCCAGTCCCTGCCACTGAAGAACATCCCCACAGCATGATGCTGTCACCACCATGCATCACCGTAGGGATGGGTTCCAGGTTTCCTCCAGACGTGACGCTTGGCATTCAGTTTAATCTTGGTTTCATCAGACCAGAGAGTCCTTTAGGTGCCTTTTAGCAAACTCCAAGTGGGCTGTCATGTGCCTTTTACTGAGGAGTGGATTCCGTCTGGCCACTCTACCATAAAGGCCTGATTGGTGGAGTGCTGCAGAGATGGTTGTCCTTCTGGAAGTTTCTCCCATCTCCACATACGAACTCTGGAGCTCTGTCAGAGTGACCATCGGGTTCTTGGTCACCTCACTGACCAAGGCCCTCTCCCCTGCTTAGTTTGGCCAGGTGGCCAGCTCTAGGAAGACTCTTGGTGGTTCCAAACTTCTTCCATGTAAGAATGATGGAGGCCACTGTGTTCTTGGGGACCTTCATTGCTGCAGAAATGCTTTGGTACCCTTCCGCAGATCTGTGTCTCGACACAATCCTGTCTCTGAGCTTTACGGACAATTCCTTCGACATCATGGCTTTGTTTTTGCTCTGACATGCACTGTCAACTCTGTGACCTTATATAGACAGGTGTGTACCTTTCCAAATCATGTCCAATCAACTGAATTTACCACAGGTTGACTCCAATCAAGTAGAAACATCTCAAGGATGATCAAATGAAACAGGATGCACCTGAACTCAATTTGGAGTCTCATAGCAAAGGGTCTGAATACTAATGTAAATAAGTTATTTGTGTTTTTTTATTTTGAATAAATCTGCGAACATTTCTAAAAACCAGTTTTTGCTTTGTCATTATGGGGTATTGTGTGTAGATTGATGAGTGCATTTTCTTTATTTAATCCATTTTAGAAAAAGGCTGTAACGTAACAAAATGTGGAAAAAGTCAAGGGGTCTGAATACTTTCCGAATGCGCTGTACAGGTATTACAGAATGGAGAGTTTCTGATAGATTTCCTTAGGGGTTTTCTTTAGCAAATATTTGAATGATATGAATGATATGAATTCATGATAAATATTATATATCATTTTTACCTACACTATACATTATCCCCTGGCATTGGATTTGAACCAGTGAGCTGGATAATTTGCATTTATTTCTCTCTAATTCTATCTTAATGCTATTTGCTACAGGATTATCTGGTTTCATTTCTCTTACATAAACAGGTCCATGCTCGAGAGCCCCAATAGCCCACCCTGGTAACCATTACATGGCAATGCAATAGGAAAGTGCATTAAGACTTAAGTCATAGGCCATGGGCCTACTAAGATCAGGCTTTGTGATTAAATCCCGTCCGTATCATATGGAGTACTGTAAGTCTCAACCCTGTAAGTCTCAAGTTATATCAATGGTTTCACTTTCTGTGATACTGTATGAATTTGTCCTTCTCTCTCTTGCAACATGCAGTGATAAAACACATGCAAATTAAACACATACAAGGGTGGTGTCTGATCTGTAGATAGCCATGCAAATACACTAGCCATTTGAAACACAACGGACTGTCATAATATGTACATTGTAATTGATTGCGTATAATACTGTAAATGTATCTATTTCCTCTTACTCTTTCCAATTCACCTTTACCATTATTTTGACCTGTATAGTTGCATCGTTGGTATATCGTATTTTAAATGTGTGTGACTGTCCTTGTCTGTCAGTGTATGTATGTGTGTTTTGTTACTTGCCAGGTTTTGTGTTTTTTTTTTGTGGACCCCAGGAAGAGTAGCTGCTGCTTCTGCAAAAGCCAATGGGGATCCACCCCCCCCCCCACCCCCAAAAATTTTTTTTTGACATGTGAGAAAACAAGACCAACTTCCTATGGACTTAAATAGTAAGACATATAGGCGGGGTCAGAACTGAGTGGAGACGGAGACTTCCACGTCACTATAGGCTACTGCTATAGAGCTCAGCTCTTGAAGAAGTGTACTGTCTCCCATTTACCATCTGTCAGTCTGGGTGTGGTGTGCTGTGCTGTGCTGTGGTCTGGGTTGATACCAGAGTATAACTCCAAAGTGGAACTCTCAGGGTGTAGTCAGTCACAGTCTGTTACGGTGGTGCTACTGCTGAGCCCGAGTGTCTTCAGTGAGGAGAGAAGAAGAAGCTGGATAGTTGGAGGAGGAAGAAGTCTGCTGCAGTCTACGACAGAAGCAGATTGTCTTCGGTGAATAGGGAAGGAGAGGCTGAATAGTTGGAGGAGAAGAGGACCAGACCAAAAGACTACCTACTTTCACTTATTATGTTTCTCTCTAACGACAGAAGACAGAGGGATCTGAACAGAAGACAGAGGGTTCTGAACAGAAGATAGAGGGATCTGAACAGAAGACAGGGGTTTGAACAGAAGACAGGGATCTGAACAGAAGACAGAGGGATCTGAACAGAAGACAAAGGGATCTGAACAGAAGACAGAGGGATCTGAACAGAAGACAGAGGGATCTGAACAGAAGACAGAGGGATCTGAACAGAAGACAGAGGGATCTGAACAGAGAAGTAGAAGATGAGACTGGTGAATAATAGAGCTCAACTCTCTTTGGAGCATTGCCTTTTTCCAGCACTTTTTGAATGTGTTGCAAAAAGTACTGGTAACTAACTCACTGCATGACTCACTGCATGACTAAATACTGTTTCTGGCTACTTTTTCCATGCTGATGTTTCTTCCCCACAAAACATTTTGGTGCTCAGCATGTGGGTATCCCCATTAAAACCTTCAACGTTTGGAGGATTTATCAAAGAATATAACTACTCAAACTTCCATCAACTGTTACAGTGGCTACAAAAAGAGGAACGTCAGTTTTCATTTTGTTTGAGATGCCTTTTTCTTATTTGTCAAGTTATTTTCCCAATGGAGCAGAGGCAGTGTGTGTTTCTGGAGGTGTATAGATGTATTATTTCCCATCAACACTGAAAGGCCGTATTGTGTTGGACCAACACAGCATTACCTGGATTGGAGACAGATTAAAGTACATTACACGCATTAAACTGAACGGTATGTGGGGAGATCACTGGCTGTGATTTGGACCTGAATCATATTAGTTGTGATTTATTTTTAGATGATTTAAACCTGCATTTGATAAAGAGCTCAACCATGAACGGAGTGAACACTAACGGCAACACTGATGCTGCTCAGGGGAAGGCCTCTTCCAACTCGTTCCTTGACAGATTCTCCACCGTCTTTACTCACCCAGACAGGTCAGAGTCCCAGCGGCCTGACGGCAAGACGGAGGTCCTGAAGTTCTTCCAGAATCTCTCAGACGAGAGCAAGACAGACACTTCCCCCGACACTTCTCCCGGGAACGTCTACAGCAGTCAGGAAGTTGATGAAGTCAATGGAAATGAGAGGACAGAAGGAAGGGATTCAAGTGCAGTAGGTGTGGTGCAGAAGAATGGAGAATCCACCACCACCACCACCACAGTTGTGCAACATGACAGCATGAATGAAACTCTGGGCCAGAGGACTGTAGAACCGAGGAACATGGACTCAGAGAAGGAAGAGGATGCAAACAGCAACTGTCTTGTCCAATCAGAAGACATAATTTCAGAGAAGAAGTCTCATTTAAGTATATATGATGAGTCAACAGACCAATCAGATGACTGCATTTCAGAAAGGCCGTCCCACTTACAAGGATATAGTGGGTCAACTGACCCTATTGAACAGAGAGTGACGATAAACAAACATAGGAACAGTTGGTCTTCAGAGAACTGCAGTATGGAGGAGCCTATAGACACACAGAATACCACAGACAGAGCCAATCAGGACATGAGAACTGACTGTCCCAGTACAGACAAGTTGGAATCAACAGACCAGCAAAGTCAGTGTGTGTCAACAGACAACCGTCATCAAGATATGGTCACAAACAATCATGATGAAGACAAAGTCAAGGAGACGAAGAACACAGAGGTGTCGACAGACAACTACAACAGGCTGGCCTGGTTAACAGACAGTGAAACCAATCCAAGAAGTTATCAGGAAACATGTACATATGATAACCAAGACTCACCTGCTGACAGCAAAGACTTACCTGCTGCTGATGTTGTAGCCAGAGACCTTGCTAACCCATCTGCAGTAATGGAACCTGGCACTAGTACACGGCTACCTTCAAACACCAGAAAGCTGGTGATAACCATGACCAGGATTGAGCCTATATCTGATGACCAGCAGCATACAGCCTCTGAAACTGAGAGCCTGTTAGAGGCTGGAGGGGTTGAAACTGAGAGCCTTTTAGAGGCTGGTGGGGCTGAAACTGAGAGCCTGTTAGAGGCTGGAGAGGCTGAAACTGAGAGCCTGTTAGAAGCTGGAGAGGCTGAAACTGAGAGCCTGTTAGAGGCTGGAGGGGCTGAAACTGAGAGCCTGTTAGAGGCTGGAGAGGCTGAAACTGAGAGCCTGTTAGAGGCTGGAGACGCTGAAACTGAGGGCCTGTTAGTGGCTGGAGAGGCTGAAACTGAGAGCCTGTTAGAGGCTGGAGACGCTGAAACTGAGGGCCTGTTAGTGGCTGGAGAGGCTGAAACTGAGAGCCTGTTAGAGTCTGGGGAGGCTGTTAATGCACTGGCCGAGGAACTCCCTCACGCATCTGCTTCTGAGTCTGAGATCACAGCCCAGTCTACAGCCCAGTCCTCTCAGCCCTGCAGCCCCCTGGATGAAGCCCCAACCCCAGCACCAGCCAGCCCCCAGGATGGAGCCCCAACCCCAGCACCAGCCAGTCCCCAGGATGGAGCCCCAACCCCAGCACCAGCCAGTCCCCAGGATGGAGCCCCAACCCCAGCATCAGCCAGTCCCCAGGATGGAGCCCCAACCCCAGCACCAGCCAGTCCCCAGGATGGAGCCCCAACCCCAGCACCAGCCAGTCCCCAGGATGGAGCCCCAACCCCAGCACCAGCCAGTCCCCAGGATGGAGCCCCAACCCCAGCACCAGCCAGTCCCCAGGATGGAGCCCCAACCCCAGCCAGTCCCCCAGGATGGAGCCCCAACCCCAGCACCAGCCAGTCCCCAGGATGGAGCCCCAACCCCAGCCAGTCCCCAGGATGGAGCCCCAACCCCAGCACCAGCCAGTCCCCAGGATGGAGCCCCAACCCCAGCAACCGCCAGTCCCCAGGATGGAGCCCCAACCCCAGCACCAGCCAGTCCCCAGGATGGAGCCCCAACCCCAGCCAGTCCCCAGGATGGAGCCCCAACCCCAGCACCAGCCAGTCCCCAGGATGGAGCCCCAACCCCAGCCAGTCCCCAGGATGGAGCCCCAACCCCAGCACCAGCCAGTCCCCAGGATGGGCTCCCAGCCTTAACCCCAGGTCCAACCATTGGCCCTCCTCCTGGCACTACCTCCACCAGAGCCACCTTCTCCCGCGGTTCCCCAGTGGACAAGCCCCTCCAGCTGCCTGCCTTGTTCAGTGGTCTGAGGATCCCAAAGAAGGAGGCGAAAGGGCCGGATCAGGACATATTGGGCAAGATCAGAACACCATCCCCATCAGGCCTGGGTGTGGACAAGCTTGTGAGGAGAAAGCTGACGACAGCTCGCAGGAGGCAGGGGAGCTTCTTGGACCAGCTCTCCCAGTTCCTGAACCTGGAGAAGGATGTCAACAGTAAGACAGAGGAGTCTACAGGAGAGGACAGGAGGGAGTCTACAGGAGAGGACAGGAGGGAGTCTACAGGAGAGGAGAGGAGGGAGTCTACAGGAGAGGAGAGGAGGGAGTCTACAGGAGAGGACAGGCGGGAGTCTACAGGAGAGGACAGGAAGGAGTCAGAGCCCTCAGACGAGACCGAAGGAGTCAGAGTCGAACCTGAAGATGGGATGGAGGAGAAGGAGAAGACAGAACAGGAAGAGGGAGGAGAAGGGCAGAAAACAGGAGAAGAGAAAGAGACAGACCAGGACACAGAGAAAGAGAAGACTGAAGTTCTGTCTGTGATAGAGCCTCCGGAATCTTCAGAACCTTCAGAGACACTAGAACCCTCAGAACCTTTAGAACCTCAGAAGCCTCCTCCCTCCAGTGCGGAGGTGGCGTTCGATGCCTTCAAGGCCTTCTTCATCCCCAGGCCCCTGAGGAGAGAGGGAGACAGGGAGGACCAGGAGGCAGTGAAGAGGAAGGCCTGGATCTTTGAGAGAACCTCCAAGACTCCTGAAAAGAAAAACCTCACTGACTCAAAAGTATGCATCTGTGTTGTGTTATCTAGCTCTTTCTTTGCCTACTCTCTATCATGTGTTTTGCTGTATCTCTTTGACAATAATGTCACTTTTATCCAAAGCGACTTACGTGTCTCGTGTAGCTCAGTTGGTAGAGCATGGCGTTTGCAATGGCAGGGTTGTGGGTTCGATTCCCACGGGGGGCCAGTATGAAAAAAATAATTATTATGCACTCACTAACTGTAAGTCGCTCTGGAAAAGAGCGTCGGCTAAATGACTAAAATGTAAAATCACAGTGCATACATACACATACTGATTATATTAGTGAATGCCATGCAGGCATTTCAGTGACGTCTGTAGTGAGTGCTCTATGCCTGATTTAAGAATGACTTTTTAATATCTTCCTAATGTTATGTTGCTGTCATCCCCCCCAGTCGGAGACGTGGACCCCAGGTGATGGAGAGGACCGGTCCACCCCAGGCCGTCTGCAGGCCATCTGGCCCCCGACTAAGGAGGAGAAGGTTGGGCTGAAATACACAGAAGCAGGTAATCTATTTTTAGAAAAACACATATTCGCTATGGCTGGAACGTTACAGTAGCTTGAGGTATGTGGATATGTGTGTGAGATACCTCTGATTATATCACTTATTTAATGATGTCAAAGAGAGATTGTAGTTCTATGTACAGATCTCAAGTTAGGATTCAACCCTAGGCCTTGACCCGTGCGACCCATGCAGCCAGCCAGGCCAGCTCCTTGCTGTGACTAACTGAGCTCTGTGGGTTATAGTATGAGAGAGAGAGAGAGAGAGAGAGAGAGAGAGAGAGAGAGAGAGAGAGAGAGAGAGAGGGAGAGAGGGAGAGAGGGAGAGAGAGAGAGAGAGAGAGGAGAGAGAGAGAGGAGAGAGGAGAGAGAGAGAGAGAGAGAGTCAATGTTTGCTCTGTGGTACATGTACAATACCATGGTCTAATGGTAAGGTAAATACTCCACCCTGTCCCTGTTACTGTCCACAGCAGCAGGCTTCTGCCTTGTCTCTAGATGACTAATGTCACATGGGCAGTGTTTTGGGACAGGGCTGTGTGTACAGTGGTGGCAGGAACTATTCCATTCACTTCTTAAATTCTTATGCCTCAGAAAACACATCAGATGTGTGTGTGTGTTTTGGCAGGGGCCACTCCTTGTGCACACACTCCTAAAAACACGCCTAAGCACCAGCTGTTTATCCTACCAAGAAAACACACATGCCAGGATTATCCAACAAACAGATACATCTATAAATGGCTTAAGTGTGATTAGGAATGGTGACCATATGAGAAGTAGAATAGAGCAGAAACTTACTGTGGTTCAGTTGTGATAGTTTTGTTCCCGTTTATGTTGATGAGCTGTCTCTCTGTCCTCCAGAACACCAGGCAATCCTCCTGCAGCTGAAGAGAGAATGCAAAGAGGAAGTGGAGAAGATACAGGTCAGTAAAGCATAGTACTACACCTCCTTTGCTACCTGCGATTCTACAGTTGAAGTCGGAAGTTTACATATACTTTCTTGTTAACAAACTATAGTTTTGCCAAGTCGGTTATGACATCTACTTTGTGCGTGACACAAGTCATTTTTCCAACGATTGTTTACAGACAGATTATTTCACTTATAATTCACTGTGTCACAATTCCAGTGGGTCAGAGGTTTACATACACTAAGTTGACTGTGCCTTTAAACAGCTTGGAAAATACCAGAAAATGATGTCATGGCTTTAGAAGCTTCTGATAGGCTAAGTGACATCATTTGAGTCAATTGGAGGTGTACCTGTGGATGTATTTCAAGGCCTACCTTCAAACTCAGTGCCTCTTTGCTTGACATCATGGGAAAATCAACAGAAATCAGCCAAGACCTCAGGAAAAAAATTGTAGACCTCCACAAGTCTGGTTCATCCTTGGGAGCAATTTCCAAACGCCTGAAGGTACCACGTTCATCTGTACAAACAATAGTACGCAAGTATAAACACCATGGGACCATACAGCCGTCATATCGCTCAGGAAGGAGACGCGTTCTGTCTCCTAGAGAATAACATACTTTGGTGCGAAAAGTGCAAATCAATCCCAAAACAACAGCAAAGGACCTTGTGAAGATGCTGGAGGAAACAGGTACAAAATTATATATATCCACAGTAAAACAAGTCCTATATCGACATAACCTGAAAGGCTGCTCAGCAAGGAAGAAGCCACTGCTCCAAAACCGCCATAAAAAAAAACAGACTACGGTTTGCAACTGAACATGGGGACAAAGATCGTACTTTTTGGAGAAATGTCCTCTAGTCTGATCAAACATAAATAGAATGTTTGGCCATAATGACCATTGTTATGTTTGGAGGAAAAAGGGGAAAGCTTGCAAGCCGAAGAACACCATCCCAACCGGGGGTGGCAGCATCATGCTGTGGGGGTGCTTTGCTGCAGGAGGGACTGGTGCACTTCACAGAATAGATGGCATCATGAGGAAGGAAAATTATGTGGATATATTGAAGCAACATCTCAAGACATCAGTCAGGAAATTAAAGCTTGGTCGCAAATGGGTCTTCCAAATGGACAATGACCCCAAGCATACATCCAAAGTTGTGGCAAAATGGCTTAAGGACAACAAAGTCAAGGTATTGGAGTGGCCATCACAAAGCCCTGACCTCAATCCTATAGAAAGTTTGTGGGCAGAACTGAAAAAGCGTGTGCGAGCAAGGAGGCGTACAAACCTGACTCAGTTACACCAGCTCTGTCAGGAGGAATGGGCCAAAATTCACCCAACTTATTGTGGGAAGCTTGTGGAAAGCTACCCGAAACGTTTGACCCAAGTTAAACAATTTAAAGGCAATGCTACCAAATACTAATTGAGTGTATGTAAACTTCTGACCCACTGGGAATGTGATGAAAGAAATGAAAGCTGAAATAAATCATTCTCTCTACTATTATTCTGACATTTCACATTCTTAAAATAAAGTGGTGATCCTAACTGACCTAAGACAGGGAATTTTTTTACTAGGATTAAATGTCAGGAATTGTGAAAAACTGAGTTTAAATGTATTTGGCTAAGGTGTATGTAAACTTCCCGACTTCAACTGTATATACTGTATTCTATAATATTCTACTGTATCTTAGTCTATGCCACTTTGTCATTGCTTGTCCATATATGTATTCTTAAATTCCATTCCTTACTTAGATTTGTGTGTATTGGGTATATGTTGTGAAATTGTTAGATATTACTTGTTAGATATTACTGCACTGTCGGAGCTAGAAGCACAAACATTTCGCTACACCCGCAATAACATCTGCTAAACACGTGTATGTGAACAATAAAAATTGATTTGAACTGTTCTTGCACTTCCTGAACATAATAGACAAACATGAGTCAAATGAGTTGCCTAACCCTAACACAACCCTAACACAACACTAACCCTAAAACAACCCTAACACAACCCTAACATAACCCTAACCCTAAAACAACCCTAACACAACCCTAACACAACCCTAACCCTGAAACAACCCTAACACAACCCTAACCCTAAAACAACCCTAACCCTAAAACAACACAACCCTAACCCTAAAACAACCTTAACACAACCCTAATCCTTAAACAACCCTAACACAACCCTAACATAACCCTAACCCTAAAACAACCCTAACACAACCCTAACACAACCCTAACCCTGAAACAACCCTAACACAACCCTAACCCTAAAACAACCCTAACACAACCCTAACCCTTAAACAACCCTAACACAACCCTAACCCTAAAACAACCCTAACACAACCCTAACCCTAAAACAACCCTAACACAACCCTAACCCTAAAACAACCCTAACCTTAACCTCCCATGAATATGATTGCAGGAGGACCATAGGAAGCAGATGCGCCAACTGAGAGGGGACAATGAGGAGTGTGTATCCCGTCTGGAGGTCACGTTGGCCAGGCTACAAAGCGACTTGGCCCTGGGTGCCCACCACCGCCGTGGAGACCTCAGAGACGTGGCCGTATCCACGGGAGACGACCTCTCATCCCGGGACTTCCGCACTGTGTGCGTCCAGACGGGCCGCCAGACCTTCCTCAGGACCCCCCAGGATGAGGAGGGGGGTATCAGGCCATATCTGAGCCCCCAACCCCCCCTCAACGTGCCTAAGAGACTGGACCTGGCTTCTATCAGTCTAAATCAGTCTGGACAGGCTACCTCTCCCTCTTCTCCCTCCTCTTCCCCCGTTCTTCTCCCTCCACCTCCTCCTCCTCCACCTGCTCCTCCACTCCCACTGTCCCAACCACCTGTACCTCATCAATGGTTATTATCAGGCAACCTAGCCCCACTTCCCCCTCCTCCTCTTCCTCCTCCTCTTCCTTACCTTCCTGCTCTAACCCAGACCCAGGGACTCGACGGCCCCCCTCCACCCCCACCCCCTCCACCAGGCTGTGGCCCCCCACCACCTCCCCCTCCAGGGGGTCTGACCTTAGGTACCATATTAGATAAACCCCCCAGGAAGCCGGCTGTGGAACCAGCCTGCCCCATGAAACCTCTCTACTGGACCAGGATACAGATACAGGACAACAAGTAGGTGTTAAAACTAACAATTAATTAAATTAAATATTTTATACATTTCTTTGTGTGAAACATTTGTAAATATTATTTTTTTATCTGTCTGCCCAGGAAGTACCGATGAAAACTAGCCAGCTGGCTAAATCTGGCACATTTACAGAAATTAATTGATGTGCATTGTCCCTGTCAAATTAATAAATCAATCAGTCAATCAATCAAATGTATTTATAAAGCCCTTTTACATCAGCAGTTGTCACAAAGCTTTACAGTAACCCGGTCTAGATGTGATCTCTTAAACTGGTCCTATATCTATCTGTGCTGAAGGCCTATAGATAACTCCTACTGTTGTTGCCATGCCAAACAGACCTAGGACCAGGCTAACAATCTCTCACTATTTTGTTCAACCACTTTTCCGTTCCTGTTAAACGTTAACAAATCGCTTCCACCCCAATCTTTTTCTAAGTTTGTCTCATAAGAGCCTGGTTTAAAAGGCTGTACACTAGACAATTTAGTGTGGTCTGCGTGACAGTTACCAGTAACACACCAGGCATTGTGGGGTCCATCTCTCTACTGTTGTACTGTAAACTGATACCTTGTGAACATAATTGTTTCCACTCACAGCTCTCCTTCCAGCCAATGTAGTCCACCACAGCCTGGGATGTTATGTGTGTGGCTCTGTTAAATTGCTCTAGCTTAACACCAACATCCTCTCTGGATGGTGTTTTATCCTGGTGGTGATTGCCAGAGAGAAAGGAAGAGAGAAAATAGCCCAAAATGACACTCAAACCCCACTGTCTATTTTTTTTATTTTACCTTTATTTAACTAGGCAAGTCAGTTAAGAACAAATTCTTATTTACAATGACGGCCTACACCGGCCAAACCCGGACGACGCTGGGCCAATTGTGCGCCGCCCTATGGGACTCCCAATCACAGCCGGTTGTGATACAGCCTGGAATCGAACCAGGGGGTCTGTAGTGCCTTAGACCGCTGCACCACTCGGGAATTCATCTAGACATATATATATATTTTTTTCTCTCTCTCTCTCTCTCTCTCTCTCTCTTCTCTCTATCTCCTAGATCATCTCTCTCTTCTCTCTCTCTCTCTCTCCTATCTCTATCTCGCTCTCTCTCTCTCTCTCTCTCTCTCTCTCTCTCTCTCTCTCTCCCTTCCATTTACCCCCCCCCCCTCTCTTCTCCTTTCCCAGTAAAGACACATTGTGGAGCTCTCTTGAGGAACCAGACATCATCAACACCACAGAGTTTGAAGACTTGTTCTCCAAGACCACCATACAGACCAAGAGAAAACCTCTGGTAGAGGCTTATGAGAAGAAAGCCAAGGACAAAAAGGTACGGTAGACTGTATGTAGCCCAATACAGGGTAGCAATGTGTCTATGTTCCACTAGAGGGCAGTGGTGTCTGAGGATTAAACATACCAGCCTGGGACATTCAGTACATCTAGCTGGAACCACAGTTTTACTCAAAATATTCTGCATTTTTGTATTGTCGGAGGCCAAGAGTGTCTGCATTTGCTATTGGAATGGACATGATACCCCTGCATGTAGACATATAGCTGGAATGGACATGATACCCCTGCATGGTTGTTTGAAAATGAGTTGATGAAGTCCCCATGGTCATCTATCTATAGTCAGCCATGATGAAGTCCCCATGGTCATCTATCTATAGTCAGCCAAGATAAATGATGAAGTCCCCATGGTCATCTATCTGTAGTCAGCCAAGATACATGATGAAGTCCCCATGGTCATCTATCTATAGTCAGCCATGATGAAGTCCCCATGGTCATCTATCTATAGTCAGCCAAGATGAAGTCTCCATGGTCATCTATCTATAGTCAGCCAAGATGAAGTCCCCATGGTCATCTATCTATAGTCAGCCAAGATGAAGTCCCCATGGCCATCTATCTATAGTCAGCCAATATGAAGTCTCCATGGTCATCTATAGTCAGCCAAGATGAAGTCCCATGTTTCTATCTTAGTCAGCCAATATGAGTCCCAGGTCCACTATGTCAGCCATAGAAATCCCATGGTCATCTATTATAGCAGCCAATATAAAGTACCATGGAACTATAGTCAGCAAGAGAAGTCCCCATGGTCATCTATCTATAGTCAGCCAATAGAAGGTCCCATGTCAATCGTTAGTCAGCCATATGAGCCCATGGTCATCTATATAGTCAGCCAATATGAAGTCCCACATGCGTCATCTATAGTCGCCAAGATGAAAGTTCTGCATGGTCAGCTAGTCATGCAGCAGATGACATGATACGCCCCATGGTATCATTTAGTCAGCTGAAGGGAAGATCCCCATGGTTCTATCTATAGTCAGCCAAGATTGATGAAGTCCCATGGTCATATATCTTAGTCAGCCAATATGATAAGTCCCATGGTATCTTCTATAGTCAGCCATGATGAAGTCCCATGGTCATCTATCTATAGTCAGCCAAGATGAAGTCCCATGGTCATCTATCTATAGTCAGCCAAGATGAAGTCCCCATGGTCATCTCTCTTAGTCAGCAAGATGAAGTCCCCTGGTCATCTATCTTAGTCAGCCAACATGAAGTCCCATGGCCATCTTTATGTCAGCCAAGATGAAGTCTCATGGCATCTATTATAGTCAGCCATATGAATCCCCTGGTCATCTTAGTCAGCCAGTAACAGAAGTCTCATGGCATCTCTTGTATGAATATGAAGTCCCATGCATCACATAGTCAGCCAAGATGAAGTTGTCCCATGTCATCTATCTATAGTCAGCCAAGATAAAGCCCCATGGCAACTCTATATCAGCCAAAAGATGAAGTCCCATGGTCATTATCTATAGTAGCCAAGTATGTAAGTCCCCATGGTCATTACTATAGTAGCCAATAATGTGAAGTCCCCATGGTCATCATTATAGTCTAGCAATATATGAAGTCCCATGGTCATCTATAGTCAGCCAAATGATGAGTCACCATGGTCATCTATCATAGTAAGCCAATGATGAAGTCCCCATGGTATCTCATGTCAGCCAAGATGAAGTCCCATGTCATCTATCTATAGTCAGCCAAGGATACATGATTGAAGTCCCTGCTCATTATGTTAGTCGCCAAGATGAATGATAAGTCCCCATGGTCATCATCTAGTCAGCCAATATGAGTCCCCATGGTCATACTAGTCAGCAGATAGTCCCCATGGACTATGATAGTCAGCCAGATGAAGTCCATGGTATCATCATATAAGCCCCAGATCAATGATGAAGTCCCATGGAATCCCATTATCTAAGTACCAAGCAAATGATGAAGTCCCCATGGCCATCTATAGTCAGCCAAGATGAAGTCTCCATGGTCATCTATCTATAGTCAGCCAATTGAAGTCCCCATGGTCATCTATAGCACAGAATGATGAAGCCCATGGTCTCATGTATCGATCATATGAAGTCCCCATGGCACTATATGTCAGCCAAGATGAATCCCCATGGTCATTATCTATAGTCAGCCAGACATGATGAATCCCCATGGACTATCTATCTACAAGTTCAGCCCAAGTATATACGCCATGGTCATTCATCTAGTAGCCAATGATGAAGTCCCCATGGTCATCTATCTATGTCAGCCAAATACATTGATGAAGTCCCATGCATACTTATAGTCAGCCAAGATCAATATGAAGTCCCAGGTCATTATCTTATGTCAGCCAATACAGAAGTCCCATGGTCAATCTATAGTCAGCAAGATGAAGTCCCCATGGTACATCTTATACAATACAGATAGCCATGCATCTACATGGTCATCTATCTATGAGTCCCAGATCATATTAAGTCCATGGTATTATTATAGTCAGCCAAGATAATGATCTAAGTCCCACATAGCTATGAAGTCAGGCACAATATGAGTCCATGGATCATGATGAAGTCAGCCAATGAAGTCCCCATGGTCTATCTATAGTCAGCCAAAAGATGAAGTCCCCATGGTCATCTATCTATAGTCAGCCAGATAGATGAAGTCCCTGCATGGTCATCTAAGTCACTATGAAGTCCCAGGATAAATGATAGTCACCAATGCGTATATCCATGTCACCAAGATAAGTCCCAGGTCATCTATCTAGTCACCAATATGAAGTCGCCATGGTCATCTATAAGTCACCCAAGAATGATAGTACCCATGTATCTATAAGTCAGCCAGGCATATATAGTCCCCATAGGTCATCTATCTATAGTCAGCCAAGATGAAGTCCCCATGGTCCATCTATCTATAGTCAGCCAAGATATGAAGTCCCCATGGTCATCTATAGTCAGCCAAAGAAGTCCCCATGGTCACTATCTATAGTCAGCCAAGATAATGATAGTCCCAGTCATCTATCTATAGTCAGCCAATAATGCAATCCTCCATGGTCAATATATTGAGAGCCAAATGAAGTCTCATGGTCATCTATATGTCAGCCAAGATGAAGTCCCTGGTCACATATCTATAGTCCCCATGTATAATGAGAAGTCCCCATGGCATCTATCTATAGTCAGCCATGATGAAGTCTCCATGGTCATCTATCTATAGTCAGCCAAGATAAATGATGAAGTCCCCATGGCCATCTATAGTCAGCCAAGATGAAGTCTTCATGGTCATCTATCTATAGTCAGCCAATATGAAGTCCCCATGGTCATCTATAGTCAGCAAAATGAAAGTCCCCATGGTCATCTATCTATAGTCAGCCAGATGATGAAGTCTCTGGTCATCATGGTCAGCCAATCTAAGTCAGCCAGTAAATGATGAGTCCCCAATGTCAATCTCATTGAGTCACACAGCCGATGAAGTCCCCATGGTCATTATCTATAGTCAGCAATAGATACCATGGTATCCCATGTCAGCCAATAACCTGATGAAGTCCCCATGGTCATCTTCATAGTCAGCAAGATAAGATGAATCCCCATGGTCATCTATCTATAGTCAGCCAAGATGAAGTCCCCATGGCCATCTATCTATAGTCAGCCAAGATGAAGTCCCCATGGTCATCTATCTATAGTCAGCCAATATGAAGTCACCATGGTCATCTATCTATAGTCAGCCAAGATACATGATGAAGTCCCCATGGTCATCTATCTATAGTCAGCCAATATGAAGTCTCCATGGTCATCTATAGTCAGCCAAGATGAAGTCTCCATGGTCATCTATCTATAGTCAGCCAAGATGAAGTCCAGCCAATCATATCTAAGTCCATGCATCAGTATACATGATAGAAGTCCCCATGGTCATCTATCAATAAGTCTCATGGTCATTATTGAAGTGCCATAGAATGGTCTATCTATAGTCAGCCAAGATAATGATGAAGTCCCCTGGTCATCTATTATAGTCAGCCAAGATGAAGTCTCCATGGTCATCTATCTATAGTCAGCCAAGATAATGATGAAGTCCCCATGGTCATCTATCTATAGTCAGCCAAGATGAAGTCCCCATGGTCATCTATCTATAGTCAGCCAAGATGAAGTCCCCATGGTCATCTTCTATAGTCAGCCAAATGAAGTCCCATGGTCATCTATCTATAGCAGCCAAGATACATGATGAAGTCCCATGGTCATCTATCTATAGTCAGCCAGATAAGATAGTCCCCATGGTCATCTATCTATAGTCAGCCAAGATACATGATGAAGTCCCCATGGTCATCTATCTATAGTCAGCCAAGATGAAGTCTCCATGGTCATCTATCTATAGTCAGCCAAGATACATGATGAAGTCCCCATGGTCATCTATCTATAGTCAGCCAAGATGAAGTCCCATGGTCATCTATCTATAGTCAGCCAAGATACATGATGAAGTCCCATGGTCATCTATAGTCAGCCAAGATGAAGTCTCCATGGTCATCTATCTATAGTCAGCCAAGATACATGATGAAGTCCCCATGGTCATCTATCTATAGTCAGCCAAGATACATGATGAAGTCCCCATGGTCATCTAATAGTCAGCCAAGATGAAGTCCCCATGGTCATCTATAGTCAGCCAAGATGAAGTCTCCATGGTCAATCTATGTACAGCAAGATACAGAAAGTCTTCATGGTCATCTATCTATAGTCAGCCAAGATACTGATGAGTCCCATGGTCATCTATAGTCAGCCAGAAATGATGAAGTCTCCATGGTCATCTATAGTAGCAGATGAGTCAGGTCATCTAGTCACAGATGAAGTCTCCATGGTTCATCTATCGTCAGCCAAGGATGAAGTCCCCATGGTACATCTGATAGTCAGCCAAGATACATGATGAAGCCCATGGTCATCTATCTAGTAGAAGATTGAAGCACCATGGATCGAAGAGAGATGAGAGCAGAGTCAACGGTGAGCGAGACTGAGAGATGGAGATGAGAGAGAGAGAGAGGAGAAGAGAGAGAGAGAGGAGAGGAGAGAGAGAGAGGGAAGAGAAGAGAGGAGAGAGAGAGAGAGGGGAGCGAAGAGAGAGAGAAAGAGAGAGAGGGGGGAGAGAAGAGAAAGAGAGAGGGGGAGAGAAGAGAGAGGGGGGAGAGAAGAGAGAGCGAGAGGTTCTGCTCTCCATTAATTATCAACGCCTCTATTAGTTTTCCATTAGTCCAGCTCCCTTCCTCTTACCTCATCTGATGGTCAGCTGTGCTCCACTGTTGTCATGGTCACTGTGTTGTCCTCCTCTCCCTGGTCAGATCATTAAGCTGTTGGATGGGAAGACTAATAGCTGACCCTGTGTCAGTTTTCTCTCTTCCTCCATCAGATCATTAAGCTGCTAGAAGGGAAGACAAATATCTGACCCTGTGTCAGTGGTTAGAGGCAACTTCTACTCACACAGTTTTCTCTCCTCCTCCATCAGATCATTAAACTGCTGGATGGGAAGCGTTCACAGGCTGTAGGGATACTCATCTCTAGTCTGCACCTGGAGATGAAGGACATAGAGCAAGGTGAGTGACACACACCTCTGGGATTATTAGGTGAATCAGATTAGGTGAACCTTGATTAGGTGAATCGGGAGAGCTAATTCAGGGCTACAACAAAATCGTGAAAAGTCTGGGGTCCCCGGAGATGAGGATTGAAAACCGCTGGCAATAAACTGTACATCTAACATCATCTCTGAAAAGAAGGGCGCATATATACTGTCTTTTTAAATGTAATCTTGACATTCAACGGAGGCTTTTATCCAAAGTTATTACATAACTAGTAGCTAAATGCCTATGTAGGACCAGAACCAACAACTTCATCTAAGATAGTCTGGCGCGATTTACAGTTTACACATACAGTATATTCAATATTTGTGGCCAACGTAGGACTCAAACCCACAACTCAAGAACTACCCACTGGGCACACCACGTCATTTCAACGTGGATAATTGGGTAATATTTGGATGAGACGTTGATCAATGAGATTACGACCTATATTCACCCATTCAAAAAGACCACCAAAAGTACAGTGGCTTGCAAAAGTATTCACCCCCCTTGGCATTTTTCCTATTTTGTTGCCTTAAAACCTGGAATTAAAATGGATTTTGTATCATTTGATTTACACAATATGCCTACCACTTTGAAGATGCAAAATATTTGTTATTGTGAAACAAACAATAAATAAGACAAAAAAACAGAAAACTTGAGCGTGCATAACTATTCAATACTTTGTAGAGCCACCTTTTGCAGCAATTACAGCTCCAAGTCTCTTGGGGTATGTCTCTATAAGCTTGGCACATCTAGCCACTGCGATTTTTGCCCATTCTTCAAGGCAAAACTGCTCCAGCTCCTTCAAGTTGGATGGGTTCCGCTGGTGTACAGCAATCTTTAAGTCATACCACAATTGGATTGAGGTCTGGGCTTTGACTAGGCCATTCCAAGACATTAAAATGTTTCCACTTAAACCACTCAAGTGTTGCTTTAGCAGTATGCTTAGGGTCATTGTCCTGCTGGAAGGTGAACCTCCGTCCCAGTTTCAAATCTCTGGAAGACTGAAATAGGTTTCCCTCAAGAATGTCCCTGTATTTAGCGCCATCCATCATTCCTTCAATTCTGACCAGTTTCCCAGTCCCTGCCGATGAAAAACATCCCCACAGCATGATGCTGTCACCACCATGCTTCACTGGGGGATGGTGTTCTCGGGGGTGATGAGAGGTGTTTGGGTTTGCGCCAGACATAGCGTTTTCCTTGATGGCCAAAAAGCTAAATTTAGTCTCATCTGACCAGAGTACCTTCTTCCATATGTTTGGGGAGTCTCCCACATGCCTTTTGGCGAACACCAAACATGTTTGCTTATTTTTTTTCTTTAAGCAATGGCTTTTTTCTGGCCACTCTTCCGTAAAGCCCAGCTCTGTGGACAGATACTCCAATCTCCGCTGTGGAGCTTTGCAGCTCCTTCAGGGTTATCTTTGGTCTCTTTGTTGCCTCTCTGATTAATGCCCTCCTTGCCTGGTCTGTGAGTTTTGGTGGGCGGCCCTCTCTTGGCAGGTTTGTAGCCATATTCTTTCAATTTTTTAATAATGGATTTAATGGTGCTCCGTGGGATGTTCAAAGTTTCTGATATTTATTTATAACCCAACCCTGATTTGTACTTCTCCACAACTTTGTCCCTGACCTGTTTGGAGAGGATCCTTGGTCTTCATGGTGTCGCTTGCTTGGTGGTGCTCCTTGCTTAGTGGTGTTGCAGACTCTGGGGCCTTTCAGAACAGGTGTATATATACTGAGATTATGTGACAGATCATGTGACACTTAGATTGCACACAGGTGGATTTATTTAACTAATTATGTGACTTCTGAAGGTAATTGGTTGCACCAGATCTTATTTAGGGGCTTCATAGCAAAGGGGTTGAATATATTTGCACGCACCTCTTTTCCGATATTTATTTTTTATAATTTTTTTAAACAAGTTATTTTTTTCATTTCACTTCACCAATTTGGACTATTGTGTGTATGTCCATTAAATGAAATCCAAATGAAAATCCATTTAATTTACAGGTTGTAATGCAACAAAATAGGAAGAACGCCAAGGGGGATGAATACTTTTTGCAAGGCACTGTAAATTGAATTTCAAATGTGTTTTCACTATGCTTTCAACCATCTAAAAGCACAACGAAATTCCAATGGAAAAACAATTTTTGGTTTATGTCTATAACTGCGCTTTCAAGCATTTGAAAGCACAGCAAAGTTTAAATGGGAATACAATGTCAGATATTTTGTTTATTTATACAACAGAGTAGACCCTTCCTGCAGTCAAATTACCAAATCTCCCTCTAGTGGCCTCATGGGTGGAATGTTATTAATATTATTCATAATTTCATAATTCTTAAACATTATAAAAAATGTACAACCGCTGAAAATCCGGTGTTTCTATGTGATGTATATACAGTGGGGGAAAAAAGTATTTAGTCAGCCACCAATTGTGCAAGTTCTCCCACTTAAAAAGATGAGAGAGGCCTGTAATTTTAATCATAGGTACACGTCAACTATGACAGACAAATTGAGATTTTTTTCCCAGAAAATCACATTGTAGGATTTTTAATGAATTTATTTGCAAATTATGGTGGAGAATAAGTATTTGGTCACCTACAAACAAGCAAGATTTCTGGCTCTCACAGACCTGTAACTTCTTCTTTAAGAGGCTCCTCTGTCCTCCACTCGTTACCTGTATTAATGGCACCTGTTTGAACTTGTTATCAGTATAAAAGACACCTGTCCACAACCTCAAACAGTCACACTCCAAACTCCACTATGACCAAGACCAAAGAGCTGTCAAAGGACACCAGAAACAAAATTGTAGACCTGCACCAGGCTGGGAAGACTGAATCTGCAATAGGTAAGCAGCTTGGTTTGAAGAAATCAACTGTGGGAGCAATTATTAGGAAATGGAAGACATACAAGACCACTGATAATCTCCCTCGATCTGGGGCTCCACGCAAGATCTCACCCCGTGGGGTCAAAATGATCACAAGAACGGTGAGCAAAAATCCCAGAACCACACGGGGGGGACCTAGTGAATGACCTGCAGAGAGCTGGGGACCAAAGTATCAAAGCCTACCATCAGTAACACACTACGCCGCCAGGGACTCAAATCCTGCAGTGCCAGACGTGTCCCCCTGCTTAAGCCAGTACATGTCCAGGCCCGTCTGAAGTTTGCTACAGTGCATTTGGATGATCCAGAAGAGGATTGGAGAATGTCATATGGTCAGATGAAACCAAAATATAACTTTTTGATAAAAACTCAACTCGTCGTGTTTGGAGGACAAAGAATGCTGAGTTGCATCCAAAGAACACCATACCTACTGTGAAGCATGGGGGTGGAAACATCATGCTTTGGGGCTGTTCTTCTGCAAACGGACTAGGACGACTGATCCGTGTAAAGGAAAGAATGAATGGGGCCATGTATCGTGAGATTTTGAGTGAAAACCTCCTTCCATCAGCAAGGGCATTGAAGATGAAACGTGGCTGGGTCTTTCAGCATGACAATGATCCCAAACACACCGCCCGGGCAACGAAGGAGTGGCTTCATGGAGTAGCCTAGCCAGTCTCAAGATCTCAACCCTATAGAAAATCTTTGGAGGGAGTTGAAAGTCTGTGTTGCCCAGCGACAGCCCCAAAACATTACTGCTCTAGAGGAGATCTGCATGGAGGAATGGGCCAAAATACCAGCAACAGTGTGTGAAAACCTTGTGAAGACTTACAGAAAACGTTTGACCTGTGTCATTGCCAACAGAGGGTATATAACAAAGTATTGAGAAACTTTTGTTATTGACCAAATACTTATTTTACACCATAATTTGCAAATAAATTCATTAAAAATCCTACAATGTGATTTTCTGGATTTTTTTTTCTCATTTTGTCTGTCATAGTTGATGTGTACCTATGATGAAAATTACAGGCCTCTCTCATCTTTTTAAGTGGGAGAACATGCACAATTGGTGGCTGACTAAATACTTTTTTCCCCATTGTAAAGTGTAATATTGGGATGCAAACTAAAAATGTAATATATTTCAACTCTATGTCTGACATGGTACAGGTGTCTTCTTGTTTTAAAGACCATAACCATGACCCTGATTTAGCCCACTGCAGTAAAAGGTTAATTAATATCACTGTGCTTCATCTATTAGCAGAACCAAATGACCTGGATTGCAGTTGAGATTACATTAAAAGTACATAAGGAGAACTTTATAGTTACAGTAACCTCAAAATGTGGCCATGGATGTGGTACTCATTTTAAGGTTAAATGTTACATTATTTTAGCCTTAACTTCAGGCTATTTACTGTATTTTCGAAAGTAATATTGAATTGTGTTTGGTTGACAATGCAACCAAATGTCAACATTTAAAGGAGATGTATCTACTGCTTGTATAGTTCCATCTTAGCCACTGGCTTAATCGCATTCTTTAACTTTAATCCAACATATAATTTGTTTAAACTTTCGACAAGTTAATAGGCTATTTATTTTATTTCAAAAGTGATATTGAATTGTGTTTGGTTGTCAACACAACCCAATATCAACATTTGAAGGAGTTGTATCTTCTGCTTGGATAGTTCCATCTGTGCCACTGACTTAGTCTGGCAAACTTTAAATAAAGTTTGATTTGATTTAGTCATATTCTTTAACTTAGTTTTTTGTTTGAGATGGAGACGTGAATCCAACATATAAATTATTAATTTGTAGACAAACTGGATTTAAAGCCAGCCTAAGTCAGTGGCACAGATGGAACTATCCAAGCAGAAGATACATCTCCTTCAAATGTTGATATTGGGTTGTGTTGACAACCAAACACAATTCAATATCACTAAATATTATTACATTTGAAATCAATCAGAGCTTGAAACCCTAGGCCAATTTTATTGTCTATTTTTAATGGAATTCTGGGTTAATTTGAAACAATAGCTGTTGATGACTTTGCAAATGCTATACAGTCGTGGTCAAAAGTTTTGAGAATGACACAAATATTAATTTTCACAAAGTCTGCTGCCTCAGTTTTTATGATGGCAATTTGCATATACTCCAGAATGTTATGAAGAGTGATCAGATGAATTGCAATTAATTGCAAAGTCCCTCTTTGCCATGAAAATGAACTTAATCCCCAAAAACATTTCCACTGCATTTCAGCCCTGCCACAAAAGGACCAGCTGACATCATGTCAGTGATTCTCTCGTTAACACAGGTGAGAGTGTTGACGAGGACAAGGCTGGAGCTCACTCTGTCATGCTGATTGAGTTAGAATAACAGACTGGAAGCTTTAAAAGGAGGGTGGTGCTTGAAATCATTGTTCTTCCTCTGTTAACCATGGTTACCTGCAAGGAAACACGTGCCGTCATCATTGCTTTGCACAAAAAGGGCTTCACAGGCAAGGATATTGCTGCTATTAAGATTGCACCTAAATCAACCATTTATCGGATCATCAAGAACTTCAAGGAGAGAGGTTCAATTGTTGTGAAGAAGGCTTCAGGGCGCCCAAGAAAGTCCAGCAAGTGCCAGGACCGTCTCCTAAAGTTGATTCAGCTGCGGGATCGGGGCACCACCAGTGCAGAGCTTGCTCAGGAATGGCAGCAGGCAGGTGTGAGTGCATCTGCACGCACAGTGAGGCGAATACTTTTGGAGGATGGCCTGGTGTCAAGAAGGGCAGCAAAGAAGCCACTTCTCTCCAGGAAAAAATCAGGGACAGACTGATATTCTGCAAAAGGTACAGGGATTGGACTGCTGAGGACTGGGGTAAAGTCATTTTCTCTGATGAATCCCCTTTCCGATTGTTTAGGGAATCCGGAAAAAAGCTTGTCCGGAGAAGACAAGGTGAGCACTACCATCAGTCCTGTGTCATGCCAACAGTAAAGCATCCTGAGACCATTCATGTGTGGGGATGCTTCTCAGCCAAGGGAGTGGGCTCACTCACAATTTTGCCTAAGAACACAGCCATGAATAAAGAATGGTACCAACACATCCTCCGAGAGCAACTTCTCCCAACCATCCAAGAACAGTTTGGTGACGAACAATGCCTTTTCCAGCATGATGGAGCACCTTGCCATAAGGCTCGGGGAACAAAACATTGAAATGTTGGGTCCATGGCCAGGAAACTCCCCAGACCTTAATCCCATTGAGAACTTGTGGTCAATCCTCAAGAGGCGGGTGGACAAACAAAAACCCACAAATTCTAACAAACTCTAATCATTGATTATGCAAGAATGGGCTGCCATCAGTCAGGATGTGGCCCAGAAGTTCATTGACAGCATGCCAGGGCGGATTGCAGAGGTCTTGAAAAAGAAGGGTCAACACTGCAAATATTGACTCTTTGCATAAACTTAATGTAATTGTCAATAAAAGCCTTTGACGCTTATGGAATGCTTGTAATTATACTTCAGTATACCATAGTAACATCTGACAAAAATATCTAAAAACACTGAAGCAGCAAACTTTGTGAAGACCAATACTTGTGTCATTCTCAAAACTTTTGACCATGAATGTACAGGCCTAAATAGCATCATTCAAGATAAATGAGTGATACATTTATGTTCACATTTCATTTGCACTGTGAAACCTACCCTTTGGAATGACTTCGATAGCAACAATACATCTATTTAATTTTTAAGTGGAAATCTCTCAACAATCATTCTCACGATAACACATTTGTAATGGTCATAGCTAAGCAGGGCTTTATTAAAAACCCTTGATGGGAAACCAAAGGCTAGCTGTATTCAATTCTCCAGTAGGATGTGCTGACCAGTCAATTTGTTTTCTTTTGGACATTGGATATAACGTTGAAGATCTGACGTTGTTTTAAAGGTACAAATTCAACATATTTTATACAAGGTTTGTCTATGTTGAAATTTGGTTACAATGATGACTAATCCTGTGGTTGAAATTTCACCCTCCAAACAAAAATTTTACGTTGATTACTTTTTTCAAATCCAATGTATTTTCCACGTAGCTTCCACGTCACAATGTGTTGACAAATTACCTTGAAACAACGTTGATTCAACCAGTTTGTGCCCAGTGGGTAATCTATGCTTGGTTACGCTCCAACCAAGTGAGTCATCTGAACCACAACTAAACATCTGACTCTGGCCCCTCTACCCTGTATTTGACGACTGACAGACAGACAGACAGACAGGCAGGCAGGCAGGCAGGCAGGCAGGCGGGCGGGCAGGCAGGCAGGCAGGCAGACAGACAGACAGGGCCTAACTCCAACCACCACCAAATCTCCATTCAGCTGTACTGTAATACTGTCACGCCTTATATAGTCAGACTGAATGGAACATCAGGAGTTAATGAATCAACATGACGTATGATCCGTATTAGACAAAAGGACTAGACTCAGCAGAAAACATCCCACAATTACAGTCTGAGACTTGGTCCCAACTGGTACCCTATTCCCTATAGTGCACTTCTTTAACCCATAGGGCTCTGATCAAAAGTAGTGCACTAAATAGGGAGGGAATAGGATGCCAGTTGGGAGGTAGACTGAGAGTTACCCTTTGAGCTGGGAAATACAGTACTGTAAGGGGAAGGAATCTACACTGTGGATGTCTTTGGTTTCTGTGGCAGGGAGCAGTTAGTTTCCCATCAGTGGAGATTTTTTAGATTTGTTGGCTGTGTATGTGTGTGTGTGTGTGTGTGTGTGTGTGTGTGTGTGTGTGTGTGTGTGCGTGTGCCAGCGAGTGTGTACAAGCTTTATAGGCCCTAGATGCCTTCTTCAGTTTGGCCCTCACACACCTCTCACCAGCCAAGCACTGATCGTGTGGAGACATAGACCTTGTCCACTGTGATCTCTTGAATGTATCACTTTCAGCAACAGCTTTAAATAACAGAGGAAATAACAGGGGAAAACCTCCATTTGATCCAGTCATGTTGGATTTCAGCTCGTCGAAACTAGAGACCTTGGGAATCGTGACAAGAGAAGTGCTTGGCCAATTTGCTTAGCTTGGTATCTTGTGTGATTATGGTGAAAGCCTCGCTATTATAGCTCTGTCTACACCACCAGTATATGCCCTGTAGGAATATCCTTATCTGACCTCAGGACTAAATCAACTAAAGGCCCACTGTAAAACTCCCTGGTCCTCTAGGCACGAGCTGGGGTCTGACAGTGTCCTACAAATTTGTCCTTCAATTTAAAGCATGACTCAATGAACCCGTTTACTCCTGTAGCTGTGCTGACCGTGGACAATTCCGTAGTGGACGTGGAAACCATCCAGGCTTTATATGAAAACGTGAGTGTCCTGAACTACTTGTGTTTGTATACGAGTCCTCCTTTCTTTTACCGTACTGTTCTCTTTCAGAGAGACCGGCATGACTTTTACATTTTGAGATCTCTTCAGTGTTAAGTGTTGTTTGTACCTCTCTCATCTCAGAGAGCCCAGCCTGATGAGCTGGAGCGGATAAAGAAACACTACCAGACTTCAGAGGAGGAGCAGGTCAAGCTTCTGGACAAACCTGAACAGTGAGTGTTCTCCTTTCCCTTCCTTATCACATTTTGTATATTCTGTGGAGGGCGGAAGCTGGAGCCCAGCGGGATTAGCTCCAACTCAAGGCGCCATCTTTATATTGGAACTCTAATGTAGGACAAAAGACTTGACAAAGGCGGTAGTGACATCAAAGCAACGTCCATCATGTCTTCTTCCTTGTCACCCGTGTTGTCTCTAGGTTCCTGTATGAGTTGTCTCAGATACCAGAATTCCCGGACAGAGCTTCATGTATCATCTTCCAGTCTGTCTTCATAGACGGCATGGCCTCCATACAGTGCAAGTTGGACATCGTCTCTAGTGTCTGCGAGGTTGGAACTCTCTCTTCATGTTAGTTCATACTAGGTGGCTGTCAAAGGGGTAGAGTGTTTTGGTAGTCCAGTAACAGAGGAACCACAGGAAAAGTGTTTTAATGTAGAACACATATCCATAATAAATAAAGAGTCTTCAAGGGAAACTCCACTCAAAAAAAAAAATCTATTTTTATTTTTTATTTGTCATTAGTCGGCTGTTGATACAGTCCAAAAAAATGTTTGGCATGTCAGCGGTGAAGTTTTCAAGATATTGGACTTTCAAGAAGCAAAGTGTCACGGGCCACATCATCACATTAAATGTAAATGAGTCAAGGAGCTTGTCCCAGTAGTCTGAAGTGTATTTCTGTCTCCAGGATCTGATGGAGACCTCAGTGTGAGGGAGGTATGTGGTCTGGTTCTAGCCCTGGGGAACCACATGAACGGGGGCAACAGGACCAGAGGACAGGCTGACGGCTTTGGACTGGAGATCCTGCCCAAACTAAAGGACGTCAAGAGCAGGGTAAGGGCCATGTTACAGGATGAAGTACAGTTAGATGAGTGTATAATATAGCATAGTAAAAACCTACAGCTCACAGTATTTTTGAAGCAGAAGACAGACAGATGTATTGTTTGGTGTTGGGTTCCTTTGTGTTTGAGGTTCTTTTGTGTTCTCTGTTCTCTTCTTCTTGAAGGACAATCGTATCAGTCTGGTTGACTATGTGACATCGTACTATCTCCGCAAACCTGGATGAGGTAATGTCAAACATTGTTAATCACTTTATTGTAATGCATTTTACTGGAAGTTAGTCTATGGTTGTTTGAGATTTTTGTAATTCAGGTGTTTTTTTATTGTTTCTATGTAGAATGCCCCTAGAACAAATGTCATGTTGTTGTTGTTGTTGTTTTTGTCACTCTGATGTTGCTGTTCTGGTTTCCCCCAGAATGCTGGAACAGAGAGAAGTGTCTTCCCTCTCCCTGAGCCTCAGGATGTGTTCCTGGCTGCCCAGGTCAAGTTTGAAGACATCACCAAGGACCTGAGACAGCTTAGACGAGACCTGGCAGGTCAGAGGACATTCATGCCTAATCACAACACTGTGATGTTAGCAACACATAGACAGATAGGCAGGCAAGAAGGCAGGCAGGCAGGCAGACTGACTGACAGACAGAAGGAGTCTCAGCTTCACATGCTGTGCCAGAGTCAAAGGTTATCACTGTGGTTTTCGCCTTCGATAAACAACTGTTTAGATCTGGGGTTCTTAAACCTTTTCAGCTCGAGACCCAAATGAAAAATTGACCATCTTCCTATGACCCAAATTGTCCTTCATTGACCCAAATTAAGAAGAATAGTGTGTTATTATAGATGTATTCTCATAACTCGCGGCCACCTTACATGCCCAGGGCCCACTTTTGGTCCCGACCCATAGTTTAAGAAACCTTGGTTTTTCTGGTTTCTTTCCCCCTCTCTCTCTGCTCCTCTCCAAACCCCCCCCCGTTTTGAGGAAACAAAAGCAAAGATAGAAACCCAATCAAGAAAAAAAACAAAAAAAAAAAGAAAAATGCAGAAAAAAAAGAACAAGAAACCAAGAAAACAATAACCCCCAAAAAAACACAAAAAAAAAAAAAAAAAAAAAAAAAAAAAAAAAAAATAAAATCAAAAAAGAAAAAAAAGAGCAAAGAAAAAAACAAAACAAAATAAGAACAAAAGAAAGGAAATACAAGAAAAAAAAAAAAAAAAAAAAAAGAAAAAAAAAAGCAACGAAAAAAGAAAAAAAAAAAAAAAAAACGAAAAACACAGCCGAAACAAAAGAAAAAAAATAAAAAAAGATAAACAAAGAGAAACCAAAAAAAGAAACAAAAAAGAAGACAAAAAAACAATAAACCAAGAACAAAGAAAATAAAAAACAAAAAAAATAACAAATAAAAAAAAAAAAAAAACAAAAAAAAAACAAAAAAAAAATAAAAAAAGAAAAAAAACAAAAAAAGGGAAAAAAAAAAAAAAAAAACAAAAAAAAAAAAAAAAAAAAAAAAAAAAAAAAAAAAAAAAAAAAAAAAAAAAAAAAAAAAAAAAAAAACAAAAAAAAAAAAAAAAAAAAAAAAAAAAAAAAAAAAAAACAAAAAAAAAAAAAAAAAAAACCCCCCCCCAAAAAACCCCCAAAAAAAAAGGGGAAAAAAAAAAAAAAAAAAAAAAGAAAAAAAACCAAAACCCCAAAACCCCCAAAAAAAAAAAACCCCAAAAAAAAAAACAAAAACCCCCCCCCCCCCCCCCCACCCCCCCCCCTTTCCCCCCCGGGCCCCCCCCACCCCCACGGGCCCCTCAAAATTTCCCTCACCCCAGATGAGATTACAAAGAATACTGTTTTCATTCAGGATTTGTGTAAACTGTGGAGGCGGGGTATCTGCATTGTGTGGCGACTAGCGAATCTTTTCTCTTTTTTACCTTTTGGTTTTGGAGTTTGGTCCTTTCAGACAGGAAGAAGGTCATTCAGTCTCAGGTAAACAGAGGACTACTTTTGGTGACACGGGTGTGTTTTGAGATGGAGTTGAAAGCAGAACCACTGTCCTGTAGAACAGCTAATGCACTTCTTGAGTTGTTTTTTTGTTTGTTTCATGTAGGTTATATCTCATCTGTGATTGGGCAGCTCTTGACCTGTGTGACCAATCAGTGATTCCACAAATAGATGTGATTTCCTTCCTGACAAAGGAAACAGCTTTCATTCTAGAACCTAGAGATTACAGTGGGGGTCTTTATCACACTCAATGGAAACCCTTTCAGGAAATAATATATTCAAAATGTATTGTGCGTAGGCACAGACCCCCGCAAAGGGATTCATTCAATTACTACAGCTGACAGTTCATATTTCCCAGTGGGGATATACTTCTGTATCCAACCACAACTCAGAGAATAGCTAAGCACACACACACACATTATGTTCTTCTAATCCTCGTGGGGACCTAAATTAATTTCCATTCAAAATAAAATGTTCCTTAAACCCTTTCCATAACCCTAACCTTAATCCTAACCTTAACCCGTAACCCAAACCCTAAACCTAACTCCTAACTCCTAACCCCTAAACCTAACAACTAACCCCTTACCCTAGCCCAAATTCTAACCTTAACCCTAATTGTAACCCAAACCCTAAACCTAACTCCTAAGCTTAAAATAGCCTTTGTCCTCATGGGGACGTGGGAAATGTCCCCACGTGGGAGAATCTTCCTTGTTTTACTATCCTTGTGGGGACTTTTGGGGATTTTAGGTCCCCACAAGGATAAAAGAACCCACACACACACAAACACACACCCATACACACACACCCACACACACACACACATACACACACTACACACATACATACACACACACATACACACACAGACACACCCACCCACACACACACACTAACACACACACACACACACGCACACGCACACACACATACACACACCCACCCACACACACACATACACACCCACATACACACCCACATAAGCACGCACACCCAAACACACCTACACCCACACACACATACACAAACTAACTAAACAGGGAACAGATCAGAACAAAGGCATGGTTCAACCCAGGTATGAGGGAGGTTCAAACAGCAAGACAAAAGGCTCCTGAGATAGATGGAGAGATGTCACGGTGGTTGGGAGTCTCAGTGATAAGACCTAGTCGTGTTGAGAGGTAGTGAGAAGGGCATCTGTAACTCACATCTGGTGGCCACAGGGGAGGCCATACTTTCGTGGTATGCGTACGTCCATGTTGTGTGTGTGTGTGTGTGCGTGCGTGTGTGCGTGCGTGTTTATAGGGCGGTCCGTTTGGGTTGATAAGGAGTACCCCCTTTAGATTACATAAGGACAGTGATGTGATTGTCGCCCTCCACTCTGATCGCTGGCGACACACAGTGCAGTCTCACAAAGACACAGAGACAGATCTGATGGGCAGGATTATAGCTGTATCTGAAAGGCGCCAGGGCAGTATCACAGAGACTCTGAATCAGAGACACTCCAAGAAGTCTCTGGACACAGACACACACACACACACACCACACACACACACACACACACACACGCACACAGACTGAGAAGTCTCTAAACACACACACGTGCAAACTGTCTCACACACACAGGAATAGAGAGAGAGAGTGAAGTGCATTGACCTCAGCACTATCATAGCTGGGATTGGTTGGTAAATGGAATCATATGGGCACACTTAAAGACAGTAGAGAATAGTTGAAGGGCTAAAAACAGGAGAAGGAAGAGATGACAGTCAAGAAAGGAAAGCTTTTGTTCTGAAGCTGAGTTGACTTTGAGTTGGTCAAAGGCGGTCCTTAGCTTAAGTATAAACAGGGTTTCTGAATGACTGCTGTGGGGAAACCAGCTTTGACTGGAAACGAGCTTTGTTGCTGCCTGTGCTGTTGCCTGTGTGAATGAATGGGGCCTGGTGAGAACAGAACCCTGCCAGACTGATGCCGAGGTTACAGCTGTGAGGAATCTGAAGCAGCACTAACTACAGCTATAGAGTTACACAGGCTGGCGGAGGCTCTCAAACACTAACACACACAACAAACTAACCTCAGAGTAACACCATTCCACTCACCCGGTCACATGAATACGAAAACATGCTGTTACACTTTTCAAGTTGGTTGGTGGGGTGTTTGTGATCGTCTGCACATAATGTTGTCTCATGGAAAAAATAACCAGTGTTTTTCCTGTTTTCACAGTGTGTGAAGAAGGTGTTCAGAAGGTGTGCTCCAGCTCTCCAGAGGAACACCTCCAGACGTTTAAGGACAAGATGGAGGCGTTCCTTCTGAATGGTGAGTAGCCTATAGCACTGGGCAAAAAATGAGGGCAACAGCAGTCCCCAGTAAAT